ATCGATTACTAAATTAGTTGATGATTGTTTCAATAATGGATTAATCTGATTGTTTAATCCATACAACAGATTAGCTGAAACAATTAGCTGTATCTGTGGGGTTAAAAAACTTCAGAGCCCTGTATATACAGTTGAACCCCTAAAAAAAAAAAAAAAATATATATATATATATATATATATATATATATATATATATATAAAAACATCTATATAGCTTTTTATGAACCTTAAACCAAGACTCGGAAATCTTTCTCATACCTCATCCAAAAGTTAGGCTATCCAAAGTAATTTTTTATATTAACTGTATGCTTTTATATGTTTAGGCTGCTGTAGGACATAGGGATCATTGTTTTTATCTTTCTGCTTCATTCTATCTCCAATCTCCCGAATCGTTGCTGCAAGCCCATCCAGGAGGAGCATGTCTTGCATGACTGGATGCAATCAACTGCTTCTCCTTGACAGAAACATTTAACCAATTTACAGTAACTGTATGATCTGTTTGAAATGTCTCTGTAAAATGACTTGCAATGACATGCGTTGTATTTGACGCTAAACAACTGAATTGAATAGAATTCCTCTGGAATGTTATTTTGCCATTTTAGATCATTGGTGGGATTTTGCATGTCCATCCCATTTAAATCATTTAGATCATCATACTGGTAGAAATGTCAGACAAAGACAATCCGAGTAAACACGGCATGATTGCACTGAATCACAGCTCTGTAACAGAAAGCAAAAAGTAGCTCTGGAAATTAGGTTTAATTTTAAAAGATGATATTTTAGTCGGAATCTTTCAAATCACACATCTTGAAAAGTATAAATGAATGCTAAAAAAAAGACACAATTTCTAGTAATAACCATTGCTCCAACAAGCTGATTTTGGTAGGAGCACATGAAACAAAATCTAAAGTCACTGAGATTTTTAATCAGGACAATACAAAAGAAAAATTATTATAATAACATGTATGAGAATGTTTGATTGTGACTGAACCATGACAGGTCGGTGCCTCTATAGAAGCAACCAATGATCCTTGGACCAAATGTACAAGTTTTTGGGAAACATAAAGTGGTTATTAGGTGTATAATCATCATGGAAGGACTCGCTTTGTTCACAAAAGAAAGCTGTGGGACCTTTTTCTGAACTTTGAAAATAACCTCCATCCTTTCATGTTTGCAGCTAACCCTCATGTTAAGCTGTCTGCAAAGCAGTTCCTTCTGTTACAAGCTCATTCTGATGAGCAGACATGCATTCTTTGGTGTGTGTAGTTTACATTAAACTGTGGTTAAGTGTGGGCGGGTTCAGGGAGGACTGTGTTCAGAATCTGTCCTGAGACAGGCTGTGGCTATACGCCTGCATTTGGGGGGAGGGTTGTGAATGCTGTCTTGTCTGAGGTTGGAGTGCAGGCTCTTATCTGGCTTGTCTGGGCTGTGTGGCACTCGGGGCGGATGTGCTCATCCCTCAGGAATAGTCTGGTATTGTTAGCTGGTGAAGGAGGCCCAGCCATGACAGCAAACAAAAGGACAGGGACACACAGACTTCAGGATAAAAATATGCACTATGTCAACAGAGCTGGAGGTGCCTGTTAGAGAGAGTTTCTAGAGACATAAAAACTGTATAGCACAACATGAAATCATTATTTTCACGAGGATTTAGTCTGCTTGTGATAAAGATTACACCATTATTTATCAGTTGAGAACAAAGAACAGTCATGTTGAGATCAGGGGCGGAGCTAGATTGGGGGCCAGGGGTGGCCATGGCCAGCCTTAGCCAATCATTGGCCACCCCTACCATTTATTTCCCTCTAATCCAGACAGTGGCAGCAGTAATACTCTCAAGTAGAATATTTAAATAATTTAACCCCTAGAACCCTACGGACCCACCGGTGGGTCCAGCTGCTACGTGACCTCGTAATTTTAACAAACCCCCAGTATTGATGTAGAAAACACATTTGGCACAGTTTGGTGAAATTTTTGGATAAATGTGCCAAAATGGCCTCTCCGCCCTAAGAAATTTCTCACTAATACCATTCTAAAATAAATATGATTCATCTGATTGAGTCCAAATTTGGTATATTTTTACACAACATTTAGATTTAAAAGTCTGTACTACTTTTTTGTGCTATAAATAATATTTTGGTAGTGTTTTGCAATGTTTATTTCAAAGAAAATTTTGGCGAGCTTAAAAAAAATGCAAAATATTTTGTATTTTGTCCCTAATATTTCAGGCAGGGTCAAAGCTACAATGGTGCTGACACCAGAAAACCATTCTATGACATCTTACCTTTACAGAGGTACCAAAAGTTTCTTCTTAAATCTAATAGCTGTGAGGCTATAAGTGATTTACTTTTGTGTGTTTTTGTCAGGCAGAAATTTATTTATACCCCCTTAGGGTGTAAGAGGTTAAATGTTTTATATATTAACATTAGGGCTGTTGTAAACGAATATTTTAGTAATCGAGTAATCTATCGATTATTCTTACGATTAATCGAGTAATCGGATAAAAAAAATTTATAAAATAAACTATTGGCAAATCTGCAATAACACCAGTTAGTCCAGATCAGTCCAATATCTCATTTTTGAGCATCCCTTAACCATCACAGAAAAATCTAAATGCAGAGAAATGTTTTTTTATGTATTGGAAAACAGAATGTAATCTATATGTTAGGAAAAAAATAAACTTACTCAAAATGTAAAGGTTTGAGTTTGTACAGAGTTCTGCAGCCTTAACTAGTCATGATAAAATGCAAAAATTTTGCTATTTTTATAAAAACGATGCTATTATTTATTCTTGATTGCTTAGGTATAAACAAATATAGAATTACTACAAAAAATATTAATCAAAAATTTCTAATTCATACATAACAGTAGCGAGAAGAAAAGACTGTAACTTTTCAGGATGGAAAGACACCAATAAATAAATGCTTTTCAGCTTATGCCTGTAATCTGTTGCTGCGTATTTTTATCAAAAAACTTACATTAAGTCCTGCATAATTTCTCTCAGTTCCACCCTCACATACAATTTACACTACACCCGGTTAAGTAACCGCTATGTTTAGATGTAACGTTAGCAAAATAATGTGCCTCAATTTACATCTATAACATGGCAGATTATCACACAACGTAGTTAGCAAAGAGAACTTAAACGTTACCGTGTACGAGTTGGATGCATGTAGCGGGTGTTTTCTCTTCAGATGCTGCAACATTGATGTTGTGCTGTTGTGGTACGCCAATTCTGCTTTGCAGTGGATGCATTGCGCTGTGTTGTCCTTTCTGTTTAGCCTAAAATGTTCCCAAACTTTTGACATTTTTTGTCGCGTTCGGGGTTCTCCTTCTGAGCATTCTCCGGTTCCCTCCATAGCTACAAACTTAGCACAAGCGCTCCAGGCGCTAACGGAAGTGGTAGCGTTGTGCAACACAAAAACCCTCCGGCTAGACCAGTGTGCTGCGTATTTAACAGCATTGCTTATTACAATACAATAAATTTAGCGAAGCTTCGAGGCAGATAAATTTCCTCGAGGATTTTTTGTAATCGAGTTACTCGATGAATCGTTTCAGCCCTAATTGACATTATATTAACATTAACATTGAAGATCATAAATACAGAATTCATGCTTTATTCGGAACTATGTGTCTCTGCAAGTCATCTAAGGCTACGTTCAAACTGCAGGCCTTGATGCTCAATTCCGATTTTTTTGAGAAAACCGATTTTGTTGCGTTGCTGTTCATATTTCCAAATATATGCAACTTGTATGTGATCTTCTGTATGAACTGCAGTCATACAACACATGTGACCCGCATGCGCAGTAGAGGACGCAATGACGTCACAGGCCAGCGTGCTATGTTTATGGAAGTAAACATGGATGGTAGTGCCGGCGCGCTTCTAGCGATCTTTTCCAACTATAAAAACACATTCTTTTCAATATGTTTAAACATAAATACTGCTCTCCGCATCATCATCTGCCATGGTCGTTGTTTTTCTTGCCGCTTCTGCGTAGCATAATAGTGACCTTTGTCGGGTATTAATGACGTTCAGGTTGGATGAATCCGACCTGGCCGTTCAGACACAGGTCGCATTTGAAAAGATCAGATTCGTATCGGATTCCGGACCACATAGCCAAGTGGCCTGGGTCGGATTAGAAAAAAATCGGATCTGTGTTGTTCAGACTGACATGAAAAGATCAGATCCAGGTCGCATATGGGCCAAAAAAATCGGATTTGGGTCACTTCAGGCTGCAGTGGGAACGTAACCTAAGAGTCTTCAGTAAAATAATTGATAAATAGCTATTTTAATAAAATTTATTAAATAATCAATTTATGTAGATATTAGTATTTGTAAATATCAATTCTGTGCAGAATAATTATTGATAAAAGTAGGTAAGTAATGACAATGGAAAAGATGTTCGCCTAAAACTCAAACCTCAATGAATTGTATCCACTATACCTTTTAGCTAGAAAGCACAGATGTTTAAATATTTATGTGTCTATTTGTCAGCAAAGTTTGTAGAAAAGTATAGTTAGTCCTTATTTAGAAAACATGGATGTTGTGCCCATCAATCTTCCTGACACTGAGGTTCTGGTGCCTCTCAACTTTCGGCCACCCCTCAGTGTACATTGGTTATTGCCTGGCCACCCTTATTAGAAATTTCTGGCTACGCCTCTGGTTGAGATGTTTTTCATATACAAACGCAGAGATCTGATGATTTAGTGGTTAGAAATTAAATATGTGACATGCATAAAAGTTAAACCGCAAGGATGAATGGATGGATGCTACTAATAAAAATTGGGAAAAGGAATAAAGTTAGGAAATATTCTATATTTGATATTTTTATAGACAGAAGGAACTTGATCAACTGCAATAAAATCAACTAAAGGATAAAATCAGCCTTTTTAACTGCTGTATCACAAACACCATGTCCATTTGGTTCTACAGCTTTAGAAGTATAAGCAATCAGAGTAAACATAAGATGATCCAGTCATGTATTATTAAAGTCAGTCCTTACCTTTAGTATATTCTCATATATAGTATCCCGGAAATCCAGGAGCGCTTTCTTATCAAACTCCTGGCCGTTAATGATGCGCATCTGTTTCAGGAATGTGGACTTTCCGCTCTCTCCGGCCCCGAGGAGCAGAATCTTCACCAGCCGACGAACGGCTCTCCTCTCCCGGGCCAGCATAGCGTCTATCTCCCGGCTCCGGCGTCTGGCTTCCCGCTCCTGAGGCGCGTCCCTCTCCCTCCTGCCCTGCTTGCTGCCTCCCGGCTCCCGGGTGGCCTCCGCCGGGAGCAGGCAGCGGCTCAGGGTGCGGACCACTCCCGACATGGTGCGGGAAAGCAAGTGGGGTGAAAAAATGTAAAGTTTACCGAAACTCCAGTGGGAAAATGTTCATTATAGGACCTCTGGGATGGGAACGGCCCAGCTCGGCTACAGCTGTGTAAATCAGAAAAGTTTACATTTAGTGAAATATGTCTTTATTTACGGTCCGACCGGCAGACAAGCCGTGTCCATCTTGGTTAGACGAACGAACAAGATAACAAAAAAAAAACTCTTCAAGGATAAACGACGCCAAAAAAAACTGCTGAAGTTTAACCGCTTGAATAGCCAAATTAAAGGCAATAAAATAGGACTTTAACAGACCTGGAAACGGTTTGTCCGCCCGAGGCACAGCAGTGCTTCTAGCTGTGAAATGTCTCTCAGCAGGACAGCCCGGTCCAAGCTATCCGGACAGGCAGGCAACTGCGCTCAGTGAACTTGAGAACGCGGCCCCTGCGGGCGGCGGTGGGACGGTCACCCCGATAAGGGCACCGATGCTGCACCGTCACCCGCCGAAAGGGGGCGCCACCGTGACAATGTCTAGGAACATCACATATGTGATGATGAAGTTCACCTTAACTATTTCTGAATTGGAATCTTCATCAGGAATGTATTTCTTAACAAAAAAGAAATGTATATATATATATATATATATATATATATATATATATATATATATACAGGTGCTGGTCATAAAATTAGAATATCATGAAAAAGTAGATTGATTTCAGTAATTCCATTTAAAAAGTGAAACTTGTATATTATATTCATACATTACATACAAACTCATATATTTCAGATGTTTATTTTGTTTAATTTTGATGATTACAAATGACAACAAATGAAAATCTCAAATTCATCATATCAGAAAATTAGAATATTGTGAAAAGGTTCAAAATTGATGGCCCCTGGTGCCACACTCTAATCAGCTAATTAACTCAAACCACCTGCAAAAGCCTTTAAATGATCTTTCAGTCTAGTTCTATAGGCTACACAATCATGGGGAAGACTGCTGACTTGACAGTTGTCCAAAAGACGACCATCGACACCTTGCACAAGGAGGGCAAGACACAAAAGGTCATCGCTAAAGAGGCTGGCTGTTCACAGAGCTCAGTGTCCAAGCACATTAATAGAGAGGCGAAGGGAAGGAAAAGATGTGGTCGAAAAAAGTGTACAAGCAAGAGAGATAACCGCACCCTGGAGAGGATTGTGAAACAAAACCCATTCAAAAATGTGGGGGAGATTCACAAAGAGTGGACTGCAGCTGGAGTGAGTGCTTCAAGAACCACCACACACAGACGTATGAAAGACATGGGTTTCTGCTGTCGCATTCCTTGTGTCAAGCCACTCTTGAACCACAGACAGCGTCAGAAGCGTCTTGCCTGGGCTAAAGAGAAACAGGACTGGACTGCTGGTGAGTGGTCCAAAGTCATGTTCTCTGATGAAAGTAAATTTTGCATTTCCTTTGGAAATCAAGGTCCCAGAGTCTGGAGGAAAAGAAGAGAGGCACTTCATCCACGTTGCTTGAAGTCCAGTGTAAAGTTTCCACAGTCAGTGATGGTTTGGGGTGCCATGTCATCTGCTGGTGTTGGTCCATTGTGTTTTCTGAGGTCAACGCAGCCACATACCAGGAAGTTTTAGAGCACTTCATGCTTCCTGCAGCTGACCAACTTTTTGGAGATGCAGATTTCATTTTCCAACAGGACTTGGCACCTGCACACAGTGCCAAAGCTACCAGTACCTGGTTGAAGGACCATGGTATCCCTGTTCTTAATTGGCCAGCAAACTCTCCTGACCTTAACCCCATAGAAAATCTATGGGGTATTGTGAAGAAGAAGATGCAATACACCAGACCCAACAATTCAGAAGAGCTAAAAGCCACTATTAGAGCAACCTGGGCTATCATAACACCTGAGCAGTGCCACAGACTGATCGACTCCATGCCACGCCGCATTGCTGCAGTAATACAGGCCAAAGGAGGCCCAACTAAATACTGAGTGCTGTACATGCTCATACTTTTTATGTTCATACTTTTCAGTTGGCCAACATTTCTATAAATCCTTTGTTTTTATTGGTCTTCAGTAATATTCTAATTTTCTGATATGATGAATTTGAGATTTTCATTTGTTGTCATTTGTAATCATCAAAATTAAACAAAATAAACATCTGAAATATATGAGTTTGTATGTAATGTATGAATATAATATACAAGTTTCACTTTTTAAATGGAATTACTGAAATCAATCTACTTTTTCATGATATTCTAATTTTATGACCAGCACCTGTATATATATATATATATATATATATATATATATATATATATATATATATATATATATATATATATATATATATATATATATATATATATATATATATGTAGTAGTCGAGTTGGGGGATGGTGTCATAGTTTGTTTTTTGGTAGCATAAACAGCCTACTTAATATATTCTACTAACCTAAAGCAATATGCATCCCGGACTGGCATGGCTATCACTGCCGATAATTAGTTAGGGACTAATTTCCCACTGGGATCAGCTTTATAGTCATGATAGGCCACTTCTGTGTTTTTACTTTGGAAAATATTTTGGCAATGAAAGATTTGGAACAAAACCTCACCAAACATTGTAAATGAATCCTTTCAAGTCAAGTATGTATTTATTCAAATTCAATCAATTAAACTGAAACAATCTGAAAAAAAACTGCCTACGAATTCAAATACATTAGGATTAGCCTGAAAATGAAATAAGCCTGTATAAAATCTAATAATTTTACTCATCTTTCGAATATTAATTTAGAGTATTTATTTTATAAAATAGACTGTTTATCAGAAAATCAGTATTGCTTCTATTGGCTGATTTAAAGCAAGCTAGGCAACATGCTGACAATTAAGGAGTTAAAACTATTCTAACAGGTCAGTTGAACTAAGCTATTTATTATTGATTAGACAACAGGCATTGTGCAAGTCACACGAGGGACTTGCAGTCAGATGTCAAGATTCAATTCATTTATGACCATTGGCCAGACATTAACACCACATTTGGCAGTTCTTTCAAGATAATAATCTTAACATGTGTCTTAAATTGCTTAATTAAAATACATTTTTCAAACTTTCGATTCTTTCCTCCAGGTTTCATCTGTTGTACAGAGAATTAACCCCCCCTGTAGGTGGAGTTCACATCGCCCACTGATGAGAAAACAGGTAGAAATATGAAGGAAAAGGGACATTTTAAACATGTTTTCATATTTTTTATACATGAATGCCTTAAAATGGATAGTTTTGGTGGATAGTCAGTGGATGGCAATTCCCCATTTTGCTATCAACACCAGTCTAGATCATTTCTGAAACTTTATTTGTTAAACTTAGAACCTGGAACCTGCCACAGATTCCCTCCCCTCCTTATTTTCACATTTCACATGATTATATATATATATATATATATATTTATATTATGGTTAGATATAAAGAATAGCACAAATGATCACACAAAATAGCCTACAGTGTAAACACATATAAACCCTCCAGTCTGTTGATGACAGCATTTATTGTGATGGTAATCAAGACAAAACGTTGTCCCATGGTTTATAATCACCTTAAAAGCATCCAACCTTGAAATACCATGTGGAGGAATGCTTGTCTATTTTCCTCCACAAAGAGTAGCAGCCCTTTTTTTAATAACTTGATTCTCTCTTTTTTTGTCTAAACAAACATTTACTCTTCAAGGCTTGATCATAAAAAGATATTTGTAACCTTTCTCTTTTGTATTTGATACTAAGTGATTCCTCAATATTTGTTTTAGTAGAAACATTAGCTGTGTGTGTGGCAGGGGCAAAATGATGTGTCTGCGTACCCCTCAGAAAGTATGTAGTTGCACCCCTGATAAAATTATATGTATATCAAAATTGATCTGCCTCTCCAAACAGAACTATTGCTAACATCACAAGTCAAAATCTGATCACATTATTGTTGACTGCAGTTGTTTGAAAGTGTATATTTTAGATTTCTTGTGCACATCTTAAAATGTAATGGATACTGGAGCTTGACTGGGATCAGTTCGCAATGGATGTCATAAAATGTTCCTTATTATGAAATCCAAAACTTGACAGGTTTGTTTTCATGTGGACTGTGCTGATTGTTTGTATCAATTGATTACAGCTTAGTTAGATTTAATCATTACAACTTTGTTTATTTCAAAGTTGCACATTTAGCATGTGCTAAAATCGGTGTGTCCAGCTAGCACATGACATTCTGTCCTAACTGAAAGAAGCTGGAAAGCTATAAGCAAAATCCAGGGAAGTGTGTCTGCAGATCTTGGTGTGCAAGTCCACAAAGGTTTCACAGCTAGAGCTGATTTTTACACATGCCACAAGTGGGAATATGACTGATGGGGTAGAGAAGTATGGAGGACCAGGAGAGGGACTGACAAAGAAAAAAAGTCATTTCTAATTTAACATTTAAATCATGCAATTAGAAATCCAATGTAAAAAAAAATGTTCTGATTGTAAATGTTAAATTGAAACATGTGAGAGGAATTGTAAACTGTATTTGTTAAAGAATTATGAAGTACTTTTAAACCCTATTTCTAAAGAGATTTGAAAACCACAACTCATAAATCTGATTATAAATCCCTCTCCTAATCACACATTAAATATAGTAAATCCTTATTCTCTTTACTTATGTTTTGCTCTGTTTTCATATTGTTTTTGCATTTTCTTTTTACTTTACAATCTCCATTGACCTTTTGTGTGTTCCTCATTTGTCAATTTGTGAACCAAGTGTAACAATCTAGCAAGTCTAGTGTTTATCTTTGGTTCTTAATGTATTTTAGTTCTGTTCGAGTCCTTATTCTGCTCTTCTCTGTTTTTGTATTTATTGTGATTAATATTTCCATCTTTATTCTGGTTTTTACTTTCCTTTTCTGTTTTTCTTTTCTTTCTTAATTATCTGTTGATTTTTACCCTTCATCTCCATCATCAGATGCTTACCCTTTCCTATATACTGCCATCTGGTAGTTAAGCTCATTTATCCCACCTGTTCCTGCATATTACACCAATCCCACTCACCCTGTATCTCTATGCCTTCTTTTCGCTTGGAGTCTCTCCTTTCTGCATGACCAGCTTAATAAGTGTTACTATTCTCCTTTTTAATCATTGAAACTTTCAAACAGGCTTCAACCTCGGTAAGTAATACTTGGTCTCAAACAGAAAGTATTACTGGCTGAAGGGAGAATGGAGTCTCTCTCAAATATCTGTTTTAGTTCTAGAATACAATGTCATGATTCTGCCCTTTGTGGTTTATTTTTGAGTTTTCTGTTATTTATGTCATTCTGTTAACACTTAGTGTTATATTTGCTGTGTTGCATTTTTGAGTTAATGGAGCCTAGGCGGAAGTTCAACTGATTAACTTTGGATGTCAATCGGCATCCAAAGTTAGTCTTAAAAGGCCTCCGATCTGCAC